CCTTGGCTGCCGGAGAGCCGGGGGGAGCCTTTTGCGCTTCTTTCAAGGGATTTGAGATCGTTTAAGCCTGGCATAGCCCTCCCTCGCCGCTCCCCTCCAGACTGACTGGAGAATTTAACTCGTGTCTCGGCGGATCAGTGCAGCGCCTTGGCGGGGGTTCATTCCCGCTCCGGCCGGCGTTTTCCTGAGGGCCCACGCCTCGCAGTGCTGTGCCTCGATACAAATTTGTGGTAGCTGTTGTCTGGCAAATTGCACACGCGTTGGTTTAAATGCGTAACTTGGAGCTTAAAGATAGGCGGAGGTACTGCCGATAGCAGCTGTAGCCTAAGTGACCCTTTCATTTAGTTGGGGGTCTTCCTCCCTGGAATAAGCGTGGGAACCTGGTTGCCCCACGCTGCTGTCCACCTCGTCAGCAGTTGGTGTTTCTCAGTACCACCGGGTGTCTTTGGGGTACCCGTCTTGTTGCGCAGTCTGCTTCTGCCAGTCCCCTTAACTGAGTTACCGTGCCCTTAACTGAGTTACCGTGCCCTTAACTGAGTTACCGTGCCCTTAACTGAGTTACCGTGCCCTTAACATCAGCAATGACTGGTGGTCACGAAATGCCTCCTCCTTTTACGTTAAGTGCAGGATACTGCTCGGGTTTCTGCACTGGAGACCTGCACTATACAGGAGGCAAAGTTGTTGTTGTTTTTTTTTGTTTTTTTTTTTTTTTCTCCTCCGGGTAATTCCTGCAACTTTTGATATGGCATCCTGTTGAAAACCAAATACTGAGGGATTTTATTGCAAGTTACAGCTTCATGTGGGGAACCTGCACGGCTTTTGGGCATCTGAGCAACAATGTCACGAGCTCTGTCATAACTTCCATGTACTTCTTTTTGTCCACATTTTCATCCTTAATGTCGTGTTCTGCGATAGTTTCACTGTAAGGCTTCTTGTGTGTTATTCAGGATTGAGATGTGGGGTAAACACTTTCTAACCTTCAGCTTGGTGCAGTATAAGCTGGCTGTTTGCTTTTGATGCAATTTAGGCTTGTGATGACAGTTAATACTGCCTACCCCGATTGTGGTTACAGTGGTCAGTCTTGACTATTTAATAATAAAGCATGGTTATTTTGGTGGGTTTTTTTCCTTTTTGCTTTTAAAAGCTTTTGCTGAAGTAACTGTGCTGTTACTTGTATTTTATAACTTGCATAGGCAGCAAAAATAACTTGCCACCAAAAGCCACAATACTGATACAACTTGATTTTAAAAAAAAAAAAACCCCAACAAAATGAAAAGACCATATATAAGATGTAGCAGTTTTAACTTTGCTAGCAATGAACTCCGTAGTGATGTGTGGGTTGTAACTTAGCACTTAAATTGTGGGGTGGCTTTCAGGAGTTAAATATATTGCAGGTTAAGGGTTGTACTGCCACGTTCACAAACAGCGAAGTTACAAGCAGCGTGAACTGTCAGCGTGTTTGCAATGGTTCCCTTAATATCGTGCTACTTTGTTAGTATACTTTGAAGTGGGTGTACTCTCATATGCTCTGCATATATCAAGTTCTGTGCAATTTTTGGTGGCTTTCCTCCTGGTGTGAATGCATTTTAATAGGTATTCTCTATATTTCTTTATTACATCTGCTTTATGGTAGGTTGGCTGTAATGAAACTGAGATGTTATTTCTTACGAATCTTTTGTGGCAATTGGCGATCTTGACCAGTGCTTGCAGTTAGCTATGCGTTTGTAGCATGGTCTCTTAAGTGTTCCTATTCTAATGTGCTGTAAACTGTGGGAACCTAACTGTAAATTTGTGAAAAAATGGCTGTGATGTAATCAGGGACTCGGTGTGCTCAGGCTATTAGTAGCATGGAAGAAAATTGTGAAGTGGCACTTTGAAAACTAAGCCCTTCTCTGAAGTCTGCAATATTTAGTAATGCCATGCTGTGCACTTTGCATCTCAATCCTTGTGTCCTCTATGGGGCTCGAAACCTATTTTTTACAGCTTAATTAGGACACCAGTTGTTCGCAGTTCTCTAAAAACAAGTTCACAATTGTGCACTGCTTTCTGAGGTCTGTCATTTGGTATCTTCATCTCTGGTTTAACTCAAAAGTAAATATTGAATCAAGTGCAAAGATTAACGCTGTCCCTTAGTGTAACTAGAGATCAATGTATAATAAACCCAAAATGTTTGTTTTCCAGGTTCAAGAAAACTCCCCAGCTCAACAAGGAGGACTGGAACCTTTCTTTGATTTCATCATTGCGATAGGACACACTAGGCTTGTAAGCCTCAAATGATTTTATTTTTTCCCCTGCATGAAATATGAGTATAGTAATGATGAAAGGTAGAAGCCAAAGCTGTTACAGTAAAGAAAGCTTTTCATATTGGAAGCTGTATATGGCATTAACAAGGTAAAGTAAAACCTGGTGGCATTCAAAGTCTCCTCTCTGGCTGGATCCAAATTTGAGGGAACTCTTATTTATGCCTTTAGTTGCCTTAACTTCCTAACAGATTAACACAATGTTTATTGTATTACTCATTCATGCATATTTGCTGCCACAAGGTGAATATTGAACTGGTGAGTCAATGGCAAGAGCTCAACATTTGTTTAAACAAACTTGTTTCAACATTTGATAAAACTTGAAAAAGAATCATGGCCTGCCTGTCTTATAGTCCAGACTGGGAACACAGTACCTGGACGGTGAGTTACGAAAGAAGAGTTGAGTCTTGGTGTTTTTTTGATTTGAAAGGCTCACAGCTTTGGCTGTATGCTTCATCCTGGATACATACAAGCTGAATTCATTAAGTTTGTCTTGCTTTCATTAGTGGAGGTGTCTTTCCAGAAATGATTATTATAATGATAGATTTTTTGGTTAAAAGATTGATCTTTTAACAAGACAGAAGTAATGTTGGTTCTCTAAGCTGCTCCCAAGTAGTCTGTCCTTTCACGGTCAATTTGCATTGACTTTGAAGGGCTATTGAGTAAGGACTGGGATTGGAGATGTGAAGTAAAATGTTGCTGCTTATTGTTACGACTACATGGTTGAGATCTAATATTGCTGCTGTTATTTAGTAGCAGTTATAAAGAACAGGAAAGTAAGTGATGAAACTGAATAATAGGAATTACTTATGTAAAGGGACATCAGCTGTCAGTACTGACTTCTTTCTGATAGAAGAAAATTGAACTGCTGGGACTGATGGTAAGACATAGAGCCTAAACTTTGACGGTTTTGGTTCTCTCTGTTCAAATTCTGCCACGAGCTTGGTGTCTTTGTTACAGGTGCAACTAGAAATAGTGTTAATCGTACTTCTCTTTCTGTCCTCTACAGAATAAAGAAAACAGTATGTTGAAAGATCTGCTGAAGGCAAATGCTGAAAAAGCAGTGAAGCTGGAGGTGTATAATATCAAAACAATGAAAATAAGAGAGGTGGAGGTGATCCCCAGTAACATGTGGGGAGGACAAGGTCTTCTCGGAGCCAGCGTGAGGTTCTGCAGTTTCCAGGGAGCCAATGAACACGTCTGGCACGTTTTGGTGAGATGGAATTCTTTGGTGTCTCATGAGTGTTCATACATCCTTGTTCTAAAGTGTAATGTTTAGAAGTAACTTGTAGGTAGAAGTACAATGCTGAAATCGCACAGAAGAAGGAGGGAACACAGGCTTGAAAGTTTGTCTGAGCTATTTGAATATGGACAAATAGTGGGTGACTGGTCGCATTGCCTGTCCCTGTGAAGAAAAGTAACTCCATCCCAGCCAGACCAAATGGTTTGTGAGGGGGAGGAGGTTTTTTTCATCTTATGTTGAAGAATCAATGGCAAAAGCAAAAAAGATTCTGGCTCATGAGGTGTCTCTGTGTTGTAGTATTAATGTTACAAAAAGCACCAAAAATTATTTTAAAATTAAGAGGGAGAGCTGAAAGAGTAGAACAGAATAGGAAAGACTGTTTGTGTCTGGTTGTTTAAATAACTGCAACTTTTCAACATCTTCAGAGTATCTCACTTTGAGTTGGTAGTATCTTGGTCTTTCTCATTCAGCATGTTTTACAAGATGTCACACCTAGATGTAGACTGTTCAAGGACTTCTATTTTGTCCCACAAACAAAACGTTCTTTCCCTCTGTTGTTTCTGGAGTTAGATTTCCTTTCTGATCTTGGGGTAGTTTATCCTGCTGCCAGTGCGGACGACACGTGTCATTTTTTCACAGGACGTTGAACCTGCATCTCCTGCAGCTCTCGCTGGTCTCCAGCCGTACACTGACTACATTGTTGGATCTGATCAGATTCTTCAGGAGGTAGGGCCCATGTTCCTTCAAGCAGCGACCATCTCCATGCCTGCCCAGTGAACATTGTAGGGTTTGGTTTTTTTATAAATCTAATTACATGTACATCACATGTATGGGGATAGTTTTTTTGGGAGGCTGATGTTTATGTCAGATGCTTTATGGTTGAGGTAAACGTTGTCTTTTTTTTAATCTGACAATAAAATAAGTTGCCCCTAAAGCTTAAACTACACTAGTGAGTTTCAGTTTGTCTTTGGGTTTTTAATATCTCATGATGAAGTAACTGTGTAAAATGCTAACTTACTGCCAGCTCCTTGTCTTGCACGTTTGAGTTTAATAACTGCTGCCTTGTTGGTTGGTTGGTTTGTTGGTTTTTTTCAGTCAGAGGATTTCTTTTCACTGATTGAATCCCACGAGGGGAAACCGCTGAAGCTGATGGTTTATAACACTGAAGCAGATTCCATTCGAGAGGTAGTTGTGACTCCCAATGGCGCTTGGGGTGGAGAAGGAAGGTACTGATCTCCGGGCAGTCACTGGCTGATGACAGGTTATATACTCGCTGTAAATGAGCTCCTGTTAAGAGTATCATTATTACTATTGATTACAGCTTGTTGTTTTCAAGTTAAGCCTTCTGTTCTTACATTTGGCACACAAAACTGTTCATCTTTCCATAAAAAAATAGCTTAGAACTAGGAATTAGGCATGTTCTGGGTCTAATCCTGTTTGAGTTGAAACCAATGGCAAAATCTGTGTTGGCTTCCCCAGTAGCAGATTCATTTGCTACGTTCTCCCAGTCAAATGTTTGGTTAAAGCAGGAACAAAATCCAAGTCGAGTCTGGTTATATATTTTGTGAAGATATATAAAAATAATCAGCTGAAAGCTAAGCTACATGTGTTCAAGTGTCAGTTGCAGAGCGCTCCTTGAGTACTATAAGCAAGTGAAATGATTCTTGCAGGTAGGTGTTTCTTGCTGTAGGTTCTTGCTGTGTTCAGTTTTGGGCCCCTCACTACAAGAAAGATGTTGCGTTGCTGGAACATGTCCAGAGGAGAGCAACAAAGCTGGTGAGGGGACACAAGTCATACGAGGAGCGGCTGAGGGAACTGGGGTTATTTAGTCTGGGGAAGAGGAGGCTGAGGGGAGACCTGATCACCCCCTACAACTGCCTGGCAGGAGGCTGTAGTGAGGTGGGGGTCGGCCTCTTCTCCCTGGTAACAGATGATAGGATGAGGGGAAATGGTTTGAAGCTGCGCCAGGGCAGGTTTAGGTTGGACATTAGGAAAAACTTCTTCACCGAAAGGGCTGTCAGGCTCTGGGATGGGCTGCCCAGGGAGGTGGTGGGGTCCTCATCCCTGGAGGTATTTAAAAGAAGGATAGATGAGGTGCTTAGGGACATGGTTTAGTGGTGGGATGGCAGGGTTAGGTTAAAGGTTGGACTCGATCTCAAAAGTCTTTTCCAACCAAAGTGATTCTATGATTCTATGACTTGAACTCTTTTTGTTTTAAAGTCAAAATTCAAAACACTTCCTAGCTATCTGTTAAGAACACTGTTTTTTCAAGTCTTCTTTTAATTTTGTTGTACAGTTTAGGATGTGGTATTGGATACGGCTATTTGCACAGAATTCCAACACAGTCTATAGTATCAAAGAAAAAGCCAGAGAGCAAACCACCTTCACCCTTAACAGAAGCTGGAACTCCCGTGCCATCTACTAATGGTTACACAGAGGTATGTACAAAATCAGTCACGTTCTCTGGAGTTTCAACATTTTCTACTTGTTGGAACATTCCTAATACAGTATATTTGAGTACAGCACACAACTTTGCTTGAACAAAATGGGGTTAGGTGAAGGGAAAGTGAGAGCTGATGATGCTGAGCAGATGACAGGAAGGGCAGCATGAGCGAGGAACTCTTTGATAAGCTGTACCCTTTATTTTCTCAAACTTTCAGCTGGTATTCTTCCATATTCCTCGTTATATTTGGGTGCAATTACATATATTGCACTTACTCTTTCACCAGAGTTGACAGATAGGAATTTTTGCCAGGTATTTTCTTCCTGTTTTGAAGACTTGCATACTACAGCTGTATCAGGGAACCACATTAGAAGAATACTCTCCTCACCGGGAAATAAAATACACCTACAAGAACTAAGTCTGGACTGCTCTTCTAAGAACGTACTGGCTTTAAAAAGCTACACTGGAGCATGTCCTAATCAGCAGCTTGACTATCAGTTTTGCCATTGTAGGTTCTCTCTGAATTGGTGTACTTGGAGATCGAGGCTTTCATAGGGAGACCTTCTTCAGTTGAAGCTTTCAATATAAGAAGATGCTTTTCCTAATTACTGTGTTATTTCAGACTCCATTACTGGCACCTACTTCTCAGAGTGACAGCTCCGAGATAGTTATGAACTTGGATCATTCCACAGATCAAGAAATGAGTGGTTATTCACCAGAAAGCTCACTTTCTCCGCCTCCCCCTCTCCAGAGAGTTATGGATCCAGGTATATTTTCTTGGGTGATTTTTTTCAGCAATTCTTTAGAGGACATCTCAGTAAACTAATAAGGTCTTAAACAAGTTTGAGACTTAAATACAGAACTATGAGCGTTGGTGGTTATTTTCCTTAAAGTTTTTGCCTTCACTGGATTTCAGAACTGTAGAATTTGGGTACTGTGAGCCTGACTGAGGTTAGCATTCCACAGAAGTCTTTCCACTGATGCCAGCCAACTTTTAGGTTATATTTATTGGCATTCAGTGGGGAGGGGACTCGACTGACTTCACTCGGGATATAACGTGGTTTTGAATCTAGAATTTTTTGTTACATCTAAACCAGTACTGTAATACTTGCATTCTCCTGCAGGATTTCTAGATATGTCTGGTATTTCATTTCCTGAGCTCAGTGACTTAAGAGAAGTGTCCAACGTGCCCTCATCTGCCTCCTTCAACATGCCAGCAGCAGACGCTTTAGCAGGCACTGAAAAGTTAATGTCGAACAATGACGCTTCTGCTTATTTTGGTAAGTGTATTCAAGATCTCCTTTAGGCCTCTGACCTAATTTCTGGAATGGCACCAACTCATGCCTGTTCAACAGTATCATCCTTTTTGGAAATAAGCCAATTTGGAGAAAAATCTGAAAGGGGACTGGCTAAAACGGGATGGGAAAAAGTAGCAGAGATCAGGTGTAGAAGTCAATAAAAACTAATAGGCTTTTTTATAAGATTATAGAATATGTATCTTTTTCTTTGAGTGAAAATGTTGATGTTCCAGATTAAACTGACCTCAAAAGTAGGTCTTTCTAAAATAACCGTACACGAGTTTTTGTACCACAGGCTTGTCTTCACAGTTGTAAAGTGAAAACAAAGTTGCAGTCATCTTAATAGTGACTTTTCTATTTAAAAAAAAATAATCTTCACATTATGGATGCCTTTCCCCTTTTAAAAAGTGAGGTGGCTAAAAGTTGTAACACAAAATAAAACATCTCTAGCATAAGAATACAGCAGACCAAATTTGGTTTGTGATCTCTTAAAAATCTGCTTGCACCATCAGATTTTTCTGGATTTGGGGAGAACTGGGTAAACACAGCCCATGTATTTGACAGGTGTGAATCTGGTTATGTGCCTCTACCAGGCAGCTTGTCCAAGCTGACTCTCCAGACATATGGTGACCAGAGGCGCTGTCTGTTCGCCTGACAGCTTTTGGTTTTCTTACAAACTGTTTCAATTTCTCAGAAAATGCCACAGCTTTAGACCCTGAAGATGTAACCATGTACTCTGAAGGCTCAGTCAAGCAGCTTGAGTTGGACAACCTACTGCCTTCGATTCCATCGTTGCCTTCTTTTGCTCTTCCTAATGAAATTTCTTCAAAAACAACACTAGGAACTGATCCCGATAACCAAGGAACAAAGCTGCTCTTAAGCAGTATTGAGAGCTCATTAACCACTACGCCGGTGAAACCAGATGATGAAGCAGCATGCGAGCAGAAAGAAGCAGCAGCCACGCAAGATCGTGAGTGAAACGGATGGTGCTTTTGTTTACAGACTCCCATATGCTGTGACACTACAGCTTGGAATATTTTTCTGATCTTGGAAGAATTACAGTTATTCTATTTTGTTAGTGTAGACAATATTATAAAAGAAATTGTATGAAATGCCTATCCTATTGTCTTTCCAGTCATTGTTTAATGGATTGATCTGTGTTCAAACTTTGAATGCTGTCTGAAATCACCAAATTTATGGAGAAATCAATGCAGGAACAAGTTGGAGACTGGCAAAATGTCAAGCTCCTGAGTTCACATTTGCTTACAGATGCTCCTGAATGTATTTATGAAGGCACTCTGCCTGAACAGTGACACTTGATGATGATTTTCTCAGTATGATTGAAGGCATTAAAAAAAGCTATTTATGGTTTTGACTTGCTAGAAAGCTTTTCTAATGGTACCCCTCACGTGCCTTTCAAGGCATTTCCTACTTGTTTTCGTTTCCCATCTCTCTAACAGTTACTCGTGTACCTTCTCTACAACTGCTTTTGCAGGAAAGGAAGTGCCGTAGGGCTTGAAGTTGCAGCACAGAGATAGGACAAAACCGTGTGGGTGGGCCCTGTCGTTCACCTTCGCTCTTCAGTGGATCATGCGGTCGTCTCACAGCTAAAAAAACACATGTGAGGGGGAAAATGATGATGGTTATTTGAAACAGACTGAAGTCAAAGATGATGTTAAGTCAGGCCCGTGTGTTTTCAGGGTGATTAACCTTTTCAGTGGAGTTGAATGTCTTGGTTGCTGTAGTGACAGAAGTAGATTTTCTTTAGTTGTGCTTTTCCATTGACCCACTTCTGGTTTTATACAAATCATTAAGCTTAAGACACGAGTTAGTGCAGCAACATCTATTGCTTTTTGTGGCTTTTTTAATTTCATTTGCACTTGTCTTCAAAATAGCTTCTGAATGTAATAGTCAACGTGAAAGAAATGTGGGTGTGTTTATACCCCTTGGGGCAGTAATTTGTCTCGGAATTTTAAAGCTGCTGCTCGGCAATAACTTCACTCTAGCTGGTACAGTTAGCGTGGTGAAAATCCCTCAGATTAAAAGAACGGGGTTCAAGGTTAGGTGCGTGTTTAAGCTATAAACTAGAGTATCCTTATTTAGCACGGTATTGTCTCACTTCCTTTTCCCTGCCCCGTTTCCACCCTGTGCCCGGTGGAGGGCGGTCAGTAAGCGCTGAAATCGGGTGACAGCGCAGGCTGGGCAGCCTGGCTCACACAGATTTGCCCGACAGCTCAGCTTCAGCAAAAGGGTGCAGGCAAAGCTGCAACACAAGAGAGGTATTGGATGAGTATACCCGTACCTGAAACCTGTCCTTTACGTTCCTTCGTGGCTGTTGGTCTTAGATACTGTTTTCATGTAAAATACAGTAGCTCTGAACAGGATGGTCAAAATAATTTCTGCTTTAAAGAAGAATGCGTTGAGCTCTACCTGCAGGTAGAGACTGGATCAAGAGATTGGAAATCTGGTCTGCTAAAGGGTCTGTTAATAGTGAACAGAATTTTTTTCCTCTATTGCTAAAATAAACATCTCCTCCCCCCAACCGACTGCTACAAGGGTGAACAGCCAAACACTAAAAATAAATGTAATTTAAGTGATTGATAAGTTTGGTGTCCGAGCCTGGTGACTGCAGACACACAGGTGATCTATTTGGGTTTTTTGTTGTTGTTTATTTAGGCCTGTTCCTAGCCTTACAGCTTTCTCAAAACTGTTTTTAAGGTGGTAGTAGCTCATTTAACTGATGCGGTATCGTAAGCACCCTTAGAAATTAAAGCGCAGGGAATGTCAAAGCTCACACTACATTTCAAATGTCACAGTAATAAATGGCTTAACACTTAGGCCAGTCTGTGTCCAGGCTACCTTATGTTAATAGGCTCTGGGAAGGGGAAGGGGGGAGTTGGTTTATAGTTATGAGACTTGATTCTTTTTTCAAAATATTTACGCACAGTGGTCTAACATCTGTTTAGAAAACCAAATAAAGAGTTAAAACCTCTAGCCAGTAGTATGTTGTATTCACCCAGCTTAAATTTTATCATTTAAATGCTGAATGAGGTGAAGAGTTTAACCTCTTCCTCAAATTCCTTTCTCTTGACAATTTGGAGACTACCTTTCAAGATCCCTGAAGCTGCCTCCCTGCTGAAGCAAAGAGAAGTAAAGGTACTCTTTTGCTTGTGGGTGCAGAAGTGAGAAAGCTGATTAGAATTTCCTAGTTTCCAAACAAAACCTAAAAAGAGTGGTAGAAGCTCCTGAGAGTGGCTGGTTCCAGACAGGATCCAAGTCTCCTGGAGACACAGGCCTCCTGCCTTGCCTTCCTGCTGTTGCTGCAAGCGTAGACAACAGGAGGGCCGCCCCCTCCGAGACAGACGGGAGCACTTGTAATTATCTTGCTGCTACTGCTGCCACCTTAATTTGAGGAAAATTCAGGAAGGGAATGACCAGGTACTACTTACTGCTGAGCGAAATGTATCTCGTAAAGCCTGTGAGGAGAGGCCAGGTCTGAAATAAAAAGAGGTAACATTTTATGTTGGTCCGAAACAAGCAAGAATGGCTGTGGGAGCCAGAGCTACCTTTGAGTGCAGTGGCTTGAAGCTTCTGTATCTGGGGTTTGAAACAAAAGCTGCTGTTTCCAGATAAGTAGGAGAGCTGTATATTACCTCGTTTGCTTCTGTACGCTTTTGAGGGATATTTATTTTGCAGTATCACAAGGAGGGCAAAACAAAGGAAGGAAGCTGTCACCTTTAAAGTGCTTTGTGCCAATTTTGGAGCTTGGAGGCAGTAGATGTGTAGCTCGACACTGGATGGTGGTTTGGTACGGCCGGACACAATAGGATAAGCTTCCAGACCCGAGATGCTGTCAGCCAAGCCTGAGGAGGTGAGTCTGGCAGACATTTACATCCAAAGAGGCTACCAGGAGCTCAGGTATTAAGGCAAGGACTAGACAAAGCTCATCTCCACTGAGCCATGCCTCTACTGGCCCTGGAGGGGAGGCTGTGGGACCTCCACCCACCCAGACATGCGCATCTCTACTCAACAAAGGCTGGAGCAACTTGATCAAGCCTCGCCCCAGGCAAGGCTAACTTCAGCAGCTTGGATCAAGCCTTCCCTTCGGAGGTAAATTACTCAATTCAGGGGAACTTCAGACAGCATAACCCATAACCAGGAATGATCCTAACCCCTAAAACTCATGAGGAAATAACTATCCTACAGATAAACATGCAAAGCTCACTGTTAAGAATGTATGGATGCTAAACTGATTCCAGCTGAACTTGAAGGAATGCATTTAGTGTCTTTAAGGTGAACAGCTGTGGGGCAAGAACTGCTGAAATACCAAGTTCAGGCAGAGATGACTTTGTCTTCCCCCCTTGAGCTTCCACAGCAGGCTTGCCGATTTACAGAGCCTGCACAAACCTGCTGCTGTGCTACTCTAGGATCCCTTTTAGAAGCTGCTCATCCAAATCTCTGGACTGGACTGAATTCCTCTTAGCGGTAACTGAGAAAAGCTGCAACATGGAGTAGAGATCACACCACTCGCATGTGTGCTGATGGGCTTGAATGATGCATTTCCACCTGCTTGGGGGTTCAGGATTTAATCCCCCCTAGCACTACGGATTACAGCACTAACTGGGGAAGTGGGCGGCTGTTGTCAGCACCCCTGAGCTCCTGCACCTTGAATTTAGCAGAATGGCAAAGCGGCAGAGAGCAGCCTGCAGGGGAGAAGCATTTAATTCAGAATTCTCCTCAGCACCCTCACCCTTCTCCATCTTTCCCCATAACTGGGCAAGTATTTTCACCTCCAAGCAATTAGGAAGGAATCGGGCACCACTGCCTCTGGCTGGTGAGTGAAAGCAGCTACCGGTCACTCGCTGCACTTGATTTGACTCTGCTAACCTGTCACAGCAGCTTCAAAGCAGTGGTTTGGTTTAAGTTACATTTCTAAGCTACAAAAAAATACTGAAGCATTCACAGGTCCATGAAAAAGATGGCTAAAGCACTGCCACCAGATCCTCAGAAAGAGAGGGGGCGTGCCCCTGTCCGGTCCCTAATCAGCCCCTCTGGTCTGCATGGCGTTTGTGCAAAGTGACTTCCTTCTATTTGTGTCTCAAAGGATTCAACTGCTCACAGAAGAATCTCACCACATCTTACAGGAAACTATTTTAGTCAATCCGTTTCTTGATATCTGTCTCTTACAGGGCTACAACCTTTCCACATCCAGAAAACTCTGTGTCAGCTGGCACGAGTCACTTGTGGCAGGGCTGTCTTTTCTTACCCACTACACCGGTGTTAGCACAAAACATTTTGGTAGCACAGAAGCACGCACTGCCCAAGCAAACAGTGTTACTCAAGCACGTTCTCCACCTCAGCGGGATCTCAGAGCTTTTATCTGAAGGCCTGCGTGCCTGCTAAATCCTTATGTCCAACCATATTAGAAGATCATCTTTAAGGAATTTTGTTATGGCACCGCCATTTCTTCAGCCCTTCCATCACTTGAGGCTTCAGAGGACTTTGAAGTCCTTTGCAGTACAACCCTTACGTGGCGATGGTCCAAGCTCTAAGATTGCACATTCGATCCAATACACAAAACAACTGGAAAATATTTTACCTAAAGCCTTTTATTCTATACAACTGTGAAACATCATTTACCCTTCTGGCATTGCAGACTCTTCTGTCAATCTTTCCTGAAACTGTGTTTTGGGATGGTTAGAAAGAAAGAAAACAAAACAAAAAAAAAAAAAAAGAAAAATTACAACCTTGGCTGATTTCAAACAAAATTACTGGGAGCGATTCCAATGTATACAACGGGGAAGCAAGACAACCAGGAAAAAAACCCAACCCAAACAGCGCCTATTGGAACAAGCATAGACCCTTGCTATTAATAAATACAAGTCAGGACAATTTATCAATAAAAGTTACGGTTCTGTTTAACCATTTAATTCACAAACACCACTAAAAATGTGTGGTTAGAGCACAACGGTGTCAAACTGAGCATACACAGAAATGGGGATTAAAAACTGAAACTGACTCTCAAAAGACAGGGAAAAAGACCAGCTAGCTTGGTTCTGAGCCCTATGGTTTGTTTAAGCAAGGAGTTTGTTTAGCTAGGTTAAGAGTGCAGAAGGTAATGATTTGACTATTTTGTTTCAAATAAAATAACAATGAAAAATATTTTCCTTTTTGTTTGACCAATACAATCCCAGTAATATAATTTATTGGGACTTTCTTTAGGCCTCAACCTAAATCTTGATAGCAAGATACAGGAAGGGCAAGAGCGTATGTCTCCTGAAGAAACTCGAATAATCTACTGCCCTTTGAAGGCACTTGTGCTTCTGCTTCAGACAAGAGTCATTTTTTACACACTTTCTTTACGAGGATTTGTAATTTGTTCTGGCTACAAATGGTTTTGTGGGACAGCCCCACATTTTCTCATGAGAAGTTGAAATGCCTTTACCCCCTCCCCCCAATAAGTTAAATTCTATAAAAGACTACTCTGAGTCTATGACAGTCACAGATTTTTTAGAAATAAGAGTGAAAAGAAGATCCGCATACATCTATAACAAAAGAACAACTGCATATAAAACTTCGGAAAAGAAGAGTAAGTATTTTTATATCATGAATATGAAATCTGCTGAGAAGTTTCTAAAGTTTAACATTAAACATATGAAGTTATTTTCAGAACGGTCTGAAGTTTTAACAAAAAGTCACATAGTTTTGGAGCACAGTTACCAAAAATTAGACTAGCGTGTCTTTAGAACACCTAGGACACAGTGCAGGAAGTAGATATATATATATATTTAAAAACAAAACAAAAAAAATCTCTTGAAGTTGCTGCAAAGCATGTTCGCTCTGTTATGATGCACAGCATCATTGGACTGACCCCACTACAATATTTATCTAGTGTTCTTATTCTGCATGTCGACAGCTCTCCAAAGCAACAATTGCGTTGCAGTATTAAAACGATTCTAATGTTAACCCTTCATCTGCGATTAAATGGGCTGATTCTTTCAAGTATGCAATGCCTATTTTCTGTTGTTTTTCTTTTCCAAATTCCTTAAAGTGGTAGAAATGTTTTGAGTAACCTGTGAGAAATCGTCGTAGGAACTTTATCAATGGAATGTACTAAAAATACCTTGTGTGCAGTTGTGAATTCTATTGTGAACACAGCGACTAATATGGCCAAAACAGTTTCATATCAAGCATGAGCAGATGAGGATATTATGTTCGGGAAAAAAAAAAAAAACAGAAGCAAAAAGGAGGAAGCAAAAGTCTGCACCGGATTATCACCCGTTCTCTGTACACCTCACACAACACGAACCACTCGGGGACTTCCCATCTCATTGGCTGAGACTAGGACAGACTTTAGTTTAAGTCATATAGATTTTTTTTTCCTCTATATTACAGATCTATTAGTCACTTCAATTAAATGTATACTTTCCATCCATACTGAGTCATTAGAAGTCTCATCTACCTTAGGGGTTCAGTGGGCTTCTATAGTACTACTCTTGGAACCAGTACAGTATGGCCAAGGAAATAAGTAACCATTTGGGTCCACCACTCCCTTCACGTTGATTTCTGGCGATAATGAAGTGTCAGATCACCACCACTCTTCCAAATGAAGTGCTTTACAGTTCGAAGGTCCATATTCGGATCCAAAACCTAATGAGTAAAAAATTCATCTTTTATTCCACAAATCTGCTAGATCGTCAGGCATTCAAAGATAAAACTCTCCCGTTGGGCGAAACAAGCCTACGGGGGAACTGGCATCAAAGATGAACCATGCAAAGGCTCAGATTTTTCAACTGGCAAGTAAACCCAATGCATTACTCCAAGCAATATAACATAACCATGCATTACAACCACCTCCTCCATATTTAATCTTCATGCTCTTATTACACTTACTAGGCAATTCATACTCTTGGACAAATAGTGAACTCTGCTAGAAATGTAAAATTCAAAACATTCCCAAAATGCTAGAAACGGAACTCTGTGGAGTTGCATTAAGTCCATTTGCTGGGTATGAGTAAGCAATCCTACAGTGGCTACCAGCCCAGACCAAATTAGACAGGCACACTGTATAAATCTTTGATCTGGCTATCTGCAGCTGTCTGAACTTGCGTCAGCAGCAAGTTAACATGATGGCAAAACACTTACTTAGTTTTAAGGTAACAGATAATCTACAGCGGATTTCAAGCTCAGCATTCAGAAATTCACAAGCGATTCATTGCTAGACATCGGTGGTGTTCACAGGCTAAAACGCCCAAGTTAACTTACCTGGTCCTGGCACAGGAGTTCAATCTTCTCCTCCGCTAGCACAGCGATATCCTCCTCTTTTTCTTGTTCTCCTGCTTTTTCGTTATTGGAAGAGCTCGTTGTCTGAGATTCATTATCCAGGTTTATGATTTTCTCATACACATGTTCCATCACTTTTCTCACCTGAAGCATATCACTTGCCGACAGTCGGTCTCTATACGAGATAAGTGAAGTTTGGCAGGAAAAAAAATGAGTAACAGGTAAGATCTTTATATCGTAAGTCTAACAGTAAATTATCAGGATCGTCCAGAATGCTGTGATCATAACAGCTACTTATCCAAAGATTCAAACAGCAAAAGGGACTCAGAAAAGGGGTACGATATTCAAAAGACTGGATTAAATTAAACTTTAGATGAAGAGTACTGTACACAACCCTCATTCTTTCAACAGAAACGGGATTTGCAAAAGAACGACAGAGGAGAATACGGAATAATAAAAGAGGTAAGCCAGAATAAGCTGTTCACCCTACCACGTTTACAGAAGGCTTTCCTAAAGTAGTAAGCAGCAGCAGGTTTTCCACAACATACACAAAAAGCCTATGAAGCTCCTCCTCCATAAATTGTCTCTGATGTGAAGAATTCAGTAAAACTTAAAAGAGGAACCAGGCATTTGTGGAAAACAAAGGGAATTGTTGCGTATAAATGGCAGGCACAACATCTGTGACACTGACTTCACACCTGAGGACCTGTACTGATTTCTAACGTATGTAGCCTCTCGCTAATGCGACAGGCAGACTCCTGCATCCCCTGCCGTAGCTCCGGTTACAGCTAATGCGACAGGCAGACTCCTGCATCCCCTGCTCTCAGGTTTTGTACCTTTTCCTTTTAAAAAAGCTAATATTTATCACTGTTAGCAATAGGAAAGATAATAGAAAACTGTGGCTCTGAACAGTGTAACAATCTATGAGTTCCTCTGTTTCCTGATTAAATACCACCAAAGTCTAATTTCAGTAGTTAGTTCTTGGACATTTCTTAGCATAGACTTAAGCAACTGCCCATTGAACCCAAAAGAAACCTACACTTCTTTCAAATATTCTGATATTTAATTTAATTTAATGCTTCAGAGTGATGCTGCTTAAATGACTAGGAACTTCTACAAACTCATCGAGCGCAATATGATTGTCTGGCAAACTGAGTTTTGGGGTTTTTTTGAGCTTGCAGTTGTCTTTCTGCAGTTTTCAGAGTCAAATATGCATTACTTACTTTTTTAGAGTTTTTGCCCCTGATGATGAATGAGGTTGGAGGTAGAAGGGAATCTTATTGAATTTGGGCATATTTTTCTAGAAGGAAACAAATTTGCAGAGTGTTAATTTAGGATGAACTGTTACCAGCTTCTATTTCCACCAGCTGGTATGTGAAGTATATTCATCTCCTAATTATCAAAAACCAAGAGAGATTCTTAATCAACATAACTACCGCAGCCAACTTCCAAATTACTCATACTCCTGAGATGCTTCAATTTAGATGATACACATATCTAGCTTTTGAATAGAAATTATCAGTTATTTCAAAGGAAATTAGACAGTACCAAAAGACTGCAGCAATATGAAAAGTATTCTCTGTTCCTGAGTGCCACACTTGAAAAGGAGGCCAGTCATGCACAGGGCTTTGAAACCTTTTTCTAAGACTTTCTGTCAAAAGAAATTGAGCAAAAATGCCTTAACTGGACACATCAAAAAATAATGAGTCTCAAAGGGTCTTGAATACAGACCTTGAGACCACTTATTTTAAATACAAACAAGGCAAAAATTTAAAATGTTATTTCAGATCCTGTACATTTAAAGAAATTGTAGTTCACCTTAAAAACAAACCAACAAAAACCCAATATCTCTCCAGGCGATACTTACATCCACAGTGATGTCAATTACCCACTGGGGCACAGTTTCATTAAGAAGCATAGATTCAGTTTCACCACCTGAATCCCGACATAATAACCTAGGACATACAGAAATAACCTTTGTGAATGAAACCAATTATTGCAAAGCGCATTAAAAAGCTTTCAGGAGAGGCCCTGCCCTTTTAATGGGCAGGGAGCTTGAACTTGGTTAGCTGGCCCTTCACATCACCAAACTTCTTGGGGACGCGATCATGTGTTTTCCTGTAAAGACCAGAAAAAGTCGCTGCAGGCAGATCCCTGGAGCAGAAACAGGGAGCAGTATCTCGGGAGACTAGAGGCGATGGCACAGAGAAATTTAAAAAACTACTTTGCTCGTGGATAGTGTATGTTTGTGTGTTGAAGTACAAAGCTGTCAGAAGGGGAAAGGCACCTGGCATAAAGCAATTTTTTTCTGCTTGGGAAAAAATAAGCTTTTGCCCGTAAAGTGTCTGCTAAGCCCCCAACAAATGGAAAGAATAAAACCGATTTTAAGAGATCCACACATACGATGGTAAAACAAAGCCACAAATAATTTTGCAAGTTCCAATTAAGTATTTTGTCAGAGTCCTGCAAGCCACCTTTTAGGTCCAATAAGCATGCCTTGCTCCCTCCAGTGGTGTCTTTCCTGAGAACAGACTGTCTAAGACGTAAGATCCACCAGTACAGAATGGATGCAAACATTAAGCCCAGTTACAATGTAAATATATTGGTACTGCAGAAAAAAAAAAAAAAGTCTTCAAAGCCGAAAAAGGCTACCCTGTTTTACTGACCAATTCACGGACTGGAAGTTACGTAGTTTTGGGGCCTATTCAGCCTGGGAAACAAAACCAACAAATCAAACATCCCCCACTCCATAAATTTAAAATCTACTATGTCAGTAAATATTAAATGCTTCACGGTATTTGAAAGTTTGGCATCTGTTTTGCAGCACTATTAAACTGTCTCTGGCATATCACGTATCACAGTTAGGCTTTTCAACGTGGAATGAAAAGGAACAGAAGGGCAGTCAGTATATACATGTTACAGTGCAGAACTTGTGCTCCCACCTGCCAGAGCTTAGGGCCTTCTAATGTGTGATCACTTACAATTTTGGGAGCAGAAACCAACTCTCTAGGCGAGTAGGATCTTCTGTCTGAGCCATTAACGTTCACAGCTCAGCACAACAGACCCGTAAAAGAAGTTCTACGAGAATCTAAATCACAATTTCATTCTAAAACAAAGTTCAGTTAACCAGTTTGCAGGAAGAGGGCACCCAAAAAGATCTCAAAGCTATGACATACAACTAAGAACAATATACAACTCTGAAAATTGTAAAACCCCACACCTTGTTGGCGTTCAAACTCACATACTCAGTTGGACAATGCAAAATCATCATTAACAGCTGCTTAATTTGCCTGCCAAGGGCATGACTTGAATGTACAGTACAGAACGGATGCAAGTATTTGCATTTTGATAACATTTCTGCTTGCACAAAGGAAGTGACTGTTTGGCTGCTGAATTTACACTCTTGAGTTTTTATACCTGAACAAAGTGCGTCCTCCAGCCTCACCAAAAATAACTGGTGTATGCGGTGGCACTTGGAAGTATCCATTTCCCTTCTGGACTCTGTTCTCCTGCTCACCATTCACTGGTGGGAAAAAAACCATACATAACAGTGAGGCTGCACTAGGCCTTAAAGTTGGGTATACATAGACCAAAAAGTGTCTTTTCCACCTACAGTTAACGTATTTCATAAATTAACAAAATGATAAGCTTCATAAAAACCAAGAAAATCTCCATTTCCAACACATAGCAAGTATATAAAAAGGAACGCTAGAGAGTAACGAGATCAGTGCAGGCTTGTGGAAGGCCTATGTCAAAAGTCTTTGAGAAAAGGAAAATAGAGTTCACGAGCCAAAACCTGATTACTATTTTTTTCCAGTTCCTTAACAGAATTCTGAGGATTTGTCAAACCAAACAATACTAATATAGAAATTTTTCCCCTCCACACTGACAGTACAGAACTCTGAAGGATGTTAGCTTTGCTCTTCTACCTGGATTT